AGTTTTCTTCAACAGCTGGATCTTAAAACCTGCTTAGACAAAATGCTTTACAGAGAAAGAGAAACCACTTCTTAGCAAATTGTACATTTCAAATTAGTATTTAATAACTGGCTTCACGTAAGCTCTAAATCACAGCCACCTGTGAAGCCATGCCTATGATGTGAACTGTTTTGATTGATTTCTGCTGCTTGTGTAGTGAATGGAGAAATTGTGTATTTGGCTTTTAGGAGGTAATGAAAACTCATTATGCTGTAAGCAACCTGAGTTATTCTGCCAAATCTTCCTTAGGTTACCTTATTAGGAGTATTCGGAAACTTGACCATCGACTGCTATATAGCTTCTGTACTCGGCTTTGACGAGTTGACCACATTTTTATTCATATCTCAAGATAAACATAATTTATTGCTGATAAATCAAACAATACTTTCAGGCAGGTTGGAAACTTTGGCCATTTGCTCATTTGATTACCTATGGCGTGATACCTGTTGAGCAAAGGCTTCTTTGGGTTGATTGTGTGGAGCTTATCTGGGTAACAATATTGTCAACGTAAGTATCTGTGTCATCTTGTCTAATATTTGAAGAAATTGTAACTGTTTCTCCTGCATGTTCTTAGTATACTGCTTAGTTGCTACAATGATATAATTGTTTATCCGGTGTTAGTATGGCTTTTTCACTCTATTTCCTGTCGTCCTTCCGTCTTCTGCATTCTTAACATCCAAACTGCTGAACCAGGATTATATGCTATCCAGGCCTCTAAATTTTTATCCTTTGGTCATTAATCCCTGTACAATTGTTGAGCAGTTTCTCTCTTGTTGGTCTCTCTTTTGACAAATCTGTATGAATGATAATGTTACATATTAGCTTGTCATATGATGTGACACGGTTCCTTGGTAATATCACGTGCAACGGAAATTTCTGGTTTCCTGTTTCGTGCAATACTTGTTATATTTGTTTCTATTGGAATTTCTTTCTAACCCGGTTGATTGTTTTCTTCTTGAAGTTATTCTAACGAGAAATCAGAAGCACGTATAACTAAAGATGCAGACTCTAGTTCGTCGAGCAATCCTCCTAAGGTACAAGACCTGCTCTAGAAGAATGTTTTGAATACTTATCCGTAGTGCTCTCCACTGGATTTTTCATTTTAAATGAATGTGATTTATGGTAATGAAGTTCATGTTTAGGCATTCACTTCCTTGCTATGATGCACTAATGTTATTTCTGTCAGGAATAAACGAAATCGTCATCATGTCTCGATTGCAAAGAGGGATGAGAAGCATCATTTTGACAACTAAGAGGTTGGTCATGGTGAAAGAGTAATCTAAAGCTCCCTACCAAATAATTTTCACCGATATACAACATTTTCTTATACTTCCCTGTCAGCGCATAATAGACAACTAAGAGGATTAGTTATGGTGATGGGGCTTAGCTAAGATATGCTGTAAATTGTATCAAGAGTAGTTTAGTAATATGGACCTAACAAGATTCTACCCTTTCCCTTGTATGTTTAACTTTTAAGATTGTCTTCTATTTACTAAATTTAATGTACATGTTAATTTAGCATTAAAGTTGAGGTAACTTTCAAGATTGTCTTCTATTTACTAAGTTATCATGTCACATGCTCCTATTGACCGATTTCTTTTAATAGTATTGAAAAATGAGAGTAACTTTTGATATTTTAGAAGGCAAAACGTCCCTTGATATCATGAAAGATACTTTTAGACTTAGAAAAAAAGGATAAAGATCTTAATTTCGAAGTATCATACTAAAAAAATTGAAGTATCTGTGTACCAAATGACATACATTGAAAGGTTTTAAGGATGCTTTTAGATAGATAATACACATTCATTGAGCACCCAAATAATTGTTAGATCTCTAATGTAAATAAAGTTACTTTTTGATCTCAAGAGAATGATAAAAATCTCCGAACAAAGTATCATATTTAAGTATATAATTTCTTATCTTCATGGTACAAAAGACATGAGATTATTATTTTTAATTTATCCAAAATAAATTTGGTTAGTTTTGCAAATGCAAGGTATTTATATGGATCCTATAATGTTCAATCAAAAACTGATTATTTTTTTTACAGACGATGGTATTGTAATCTCTTGATGATTAATAAAAACAAATAATATCTGACACTTCTTTTAATCATGTTAAAATTTTAGCTATCTATGAGACTAATCGTCAATGTGTGTAGTTGAAATCTGTAATTCATAATATACAAGAAGATTGTAGCTTATTCTTCATAAAAAAAATCTCAATAATCTTATATAAAGACAATATAATATGCATTGCATAACTTAAGGTATGCATACTTGGATTTTATTAAAAGAAAAACAAAAATATAAATTACACCAAATAAATTTTATACAAATAGAGTATGCATAATTGGACTTTATCAGAATTACCCATAAAGTTCTAATAAATTACATTGTTATTTGGCTTCAACTTTACCAAATTTTCCTTAAAACTTTAATAAGTAAATTGGAATACGGCTAAAAATTGCGTGACTGATTAAATAGGTGATTGGTTAAAAACGTTACCGGAAATGTTATATATTTTCACTGAAAATGCTATTTTGTTGATAATAATAATTATAATAACCGGGAATATTATCGTCTTATGTAAAATACACAAAAAATATTAACTTTAACATAACCAGTTAATTACTAGAAACATTATCAACCATAATAACATAACATGTAACATTTATTTAATGTAATAGGTAGCGTCTGTTTAAAGTTGATGGGGCCTTAGAAATATGACGATAACAAAATAGGTTAATTACTTAATTTGTTATCAATATTATCAACATATTAGGTAGATCCTAAAATATTACCAAAATTTAAGCTGATAGGACCTTAGAAATCTGACGATAACAAAATAGGTTAATTACTTATTTTGTTATTAATATTATCAACATATTAGCTAGCACCTAAAATATTACCAAAGTTTAAACTAATTGGGCTTTCGAAATTCGACGACAATAAAATATTTTAATTTCTTATTTTGTTATAAATAAATATTATCATACTAGGTTGCCCCAATAATGTTATTTTGAATAAAGAAGTAGGTTGCAATCTGGAATATTAAAGTTGTGTTTAATGATATCAGTAGGATTTAATATATTACGTATCTTTGGATGACAATTATTTTTAAAATAAATATTGATACTACTATGATCTCATGATCGATACTTTAGCAAATATTAATATTATTTATGATGTTCGATATTTTATCATTTTATAAACTTGTTAATTTGAAAAAAAGTTGAAATGTTAAATTGAAAGTGACTTAATTACAAAATTCCATTAAAATATTTTTATAAAAATATCGATACTTAGTGTAGATGTTTGTAAATTATTATATACTTAGTGTATGTGTATTAGTACGTATTCAGGAAAATTAATAAATACCCATTATCGATACTTTAGAGTTTAAGATTTTTTATGATTGTTATAAAGACTTTAGCATTTGAAAAAATTGATGAATGTTAAAATATCGATAATTAATATATGATGTATCGATATTTTTAAACAAGTTGATGAATTTCACCCCTCACATCAACCTTCAAGTATCAATATTTTAGAATTTAAAAAAAAAAATTCAAACAGTTAAGTTGTATATATTTTATCGTTTACATTATTATTAATCTTTAGAGAAACAGATAGCTAGTTTAACGTAATAGATAGCGCCTATTTAACATAATAGGTAGCGCATATTTTATTTTACCGTTTATATTATTATTAACCTTTAAACAAGCTGATAGCTAGTTTAATGTAATAGGTAACGTCTATTTAACATAATACGTAGCACCTATTTTATTTTACCATTTACATTATTATTAACATTTAAACAAACTAATAGTTAGTTTAACGTAATATGTAGCACCTATTTTATTGTTTAAACAAACCGATAGGTAGTTTAACGTAATAGGTAGTGCCTATTTATTTTACCGTTTACATTATTAGTAACCTTTAAACAAACAAATATAAATTTTAACGTAATAGGTAGCATCTATTTTATTTTACGGTTTACATTATTAGTAACCTTCAAACATATTGGTAGTTAGTTTAACATAATAGATAACACATATTTTATTTTAATCGTTAAGTTTTAAATATAAGTATCGATACATACAGTATATGTATGGATAATTTTTAAGGACAATAGTTGGGCATAACTTACTGTTAAAACAATATCATACTTTTAGAGTAAGTATAGATACATAAGCTATGTAATTTATGTTTCAAATTTTTTTAATAATTCTTCATATTTTCGACCTACAATATTAATTTAATAATTTCATTTATAAAAAAAATTATTTGATTATTTGTATTTTTTATAAAACATTATTTAAAATTTAAATTTAATAATTTTAACTAAAGATAATAATAAATATGTAATATTTATGTTTATTATTTTTAATTTAATAATAATATATATCGTAACATAAAAACAATTCATTAGAAGCTTATAATTACTAAATTAATATATTAAAACACTCTCAAAATGTAACCCTAAATTAATGTTTTCTACAAGAAAATAAATATAAATATTATATATATATATATCGATACTTACTGATAGCCAAAATTTACCGATTACCAAATTTTTTAATATTCATGTTTTATACCTATAACATTATGAGTTGTCAATATTTTCGATAGCGCTTTATCGAATTCATTAATTATTTTATTAAATTTCTAATTACACATTTTTTAATCTTATATTAATCTGTCTTTTCTTAGATTTCCGACACATAGTCTGTCTAGGAGACTTTTTATATGGTTTTATAGATTACAGATTTAATCTCTACCACATAATACGGGGCACATGGCAACCAACAGCTGGTACTCTCTTGTCAAAATTGAGGGGTTTGCATCAACATTTTTATTATTATTTAATTTCAGTTGAATTTCGTGTACTTTACCAATAGGCGTCGACCGCCCAACAATAAATTATTGTATGCAATTCACGTTTGAGATCAATTTAAGATTTCAAGGAATATTGTAAAATAGTAAACCACTACATACCATTTCTTTTTGATAAAAGGATCAGGATGCAGATACTTTGAAAGTCACAGTGCCATTGACCTCTCACTCCACTCGATCCACCTCTCTAAACAATGGAAAAGATTCAGCACAGCCATGAACAAGCTAAAGGACTAAAGCTTCATGTTGCCCAGATTGGAACTGGTTAGAAATTACCTGTACAACTCATCTCAATCGCATCATTTCACTTGCTTTTTATATATATAGTGCCTAACTTGTTTATTTTGCCTAATTATTCCTAGTAGATATAGCTTGTTTCTAACTATGATGGGGGCTTGTGGGGGCGTGCAGGTACTAAGATGGTGGTATTCTTGCATGGATTCCCTGAAATTTGGTATTCATGGAGGCACCAGATGGTTGCGGTGGCTGATGCCGGCTACCGAGCAATTTCTCTTGATTTTAGGGGATATGGACTCTCAGAGCATCCATCAGAACCAGAGAGGGCAACCTTTAATGACTTTGTTGATGATGTCGTTGCCCTTTTCGACTCTTTAGGCATCAGTAAGGTACCGTTTTTATCGACTTTGATATGTTACAGGACTCAATCCGAGCATTAATGTTCATCTTTTTCAACCGTTGAAACTAGGCACATCTTGTTTCCAAGGATTTCGGGGCCCTTGTAGCCACCATGATGGGCGTACTTCACCCTGAAAGAGTGTCTACCATCACCTTACTAGGCGTTCCTTTCCTGCTACCAGGCCTCTCTCCACTCCAAACTCAACTTCCTCTCATTCCATCAGGCTTTTATATGCTAAGATGGCTGGTGAGTACTACAAACTATGCTCGATTTGTCATGTCCGTCATGTTGTTACTGTAAATCCCTTTCCCTGCAGATACCGGGGAGAGCTGAAGCCGATTTCGGCCGCTTCGACGCAAAGACAGTAGTACGCAAGATTTATATTATGTTCTCCGGAAGTGAACCCCCGGTTGCAGCTTCTGATAATCAAGAGATCATGGATTTGGTCGACTCATCTACTCCTCTACCGCCATGGATGAGCGAGGAAGACATTGCAGAGTATGGATCTTTATACGAGAAAAGCGGATTCCGTACTGCACTGCAAGTTCCATACAGGTAAGCTGAAGTTTTGAATGGAACATCTTGTATCGTATAATTGATTGTATTTTGATATCGTCTTACTTGTAGGACCCTGATGCTGTCCTGTGGGCTGGATGATGGGAAAATCAGTGCTCCGGGACTTTTGATCATGGGAGAGAAAGACTATATCATGAAATTCCCAGGGCTGGAAGACTACGTTAAGACTGGCAAAGTGAAGGAGTTTGTGCCCAATTTGGAGGTCACATTTTCTTCAGAAGGAACCCATTTCGTCCAAGAACAGCTTCCTGAGGAGGTGAATCAACTCATCATCCCCTTCCTCAACAAACACAGCAAATAAAGGAAGAACTCCATGAGCTATCTGTATTTTCGCATGGTTGAAGCCTATGTATACAATGAAGATGGAAGAGATATACCGTACATAGGGACGGAGGGGGGCGAGGGACTGACCCCAAATTTTTTTGGGTAAACTATGTAATTGGTCGCCTACTTATTCCAATATTTTTGTTTTTAAACTATTTTTTTTTAAATCATATCTAAAATCACGTTCATGTTTTGTTACCCGCCGTTAGATTTTACTGCTGACTTGACAGAAATATCGTGGCATGATATAAAAACAGGTTTTGCTCAACTTGTCTGCTGCACAAATGGTAATAGATTGGGACCATGTCTATCCTAGCATATTATTTAGCAATGATGAGTCCTTAACAGACACAATCGATGAGACAAGTACGCGATCGTCGTTCGTTAAACATTGAATGGATGTTATGAACCTGTTGAAACAGATACATCATTGTACCATAGACTAAGCAGAGCACAATTAAGTGTAAGTGACAGAAAGGAAACAAATCAAGAGGTTAAATTCCATTAGTTTGAGCATTTGATTCTTGAGGTGCCTGTCCTATATATTTGCATTCCACCCAACAAGAACTTCATCCCATAGTACCCCAGAAGGCTAATAAAGCATTCCTTATCAACCTTGTTGCTTGTTTCTATCGTCCTTGGATCTTTTAGCAATGGCTCTCCCACTGGCTGCATCAAATGAGGGGAAAAAAAAGGCGCAGACAAGTGGAAAGAAGCTAATGGTTGGTGGGAAGCTCTCATCGATCAACTTAACACGAAGGAGCTCGAAGAACTAAGATCGAGTTTGGCAGAGCTTCACAACAACCGCCATATCAAGAGGAAGGAGAAGATTGCAGCCACTTCTTCAGTGCTTGCTTCAACGGATCCTGCTCAGTGAGTCCATTTACTACCAATGGGAATGAAGATGTCCCCTTCTGCCTTTCATCCTGGCCAGCAGTTCTGAACAACATAAAGCATTCTCGAATAATAATAACTCCACCTTGGATAGTTCCCAAGCCAAGTTTCCATTCATATGTTTGATGCACCCTTCACTTTCAGGACACCATTGAAACGTTTTCTTGTAACGCAAACAACAGCGGAATATACCATCTTCATACAAGGTGTTAAACCAAAAAAGAGATCCAATCTGTAGATTATATTCCGTATCTAAGATAAAAATGTTACAATCAATGTGAAGGCATTGTACAAAGAATGTATGGCAATGGAAGAACACAAGTTTCCAGTTCCACTATAAGAGCACCCAAGGATGCACCCAATGACAAACAGCTGTAGAAAGTTCTCACCAGAGAAGTGAGCTGCACTAAAGATGGCGGCGCTAATCACAACTGCTTGCTTCCAATCCATAGTCGACGCAAGAGATGCCAACATGAATCCTCTATAAACCACTTCTTCCAGGATCGGAGTGATGATGCAGTATACAATAATACAAGCAACTTTTGAAATGTCACTTCTTAGAAGCATTTCCTTCAGTACAGGGTTATTTACATCCTAAATTTTAAATACAGCATAATGGATTAGAAAGATGCAAGGGTGATGATGGCATAAAAAAAGCAAAGAAGACATTGTAAAACCATCTTAACATGATGAGGTAACTTTACCCAAACTCGAGGGCAAGGATGAGCATCGAGACTTATTACTTTACCAAGTGGTCTAGTTACAAGGTCCAAAGCAAAGCAACTGAAGATGAAGTTACCAGCTTTCGTGCATGGAGTTCATATCAATCTCGGAATTTAGACCTAGAAGTGCTAATGGTTCAACGACTTATGCTTTTCTTTGGGGGAAAGGATTAATCAGCTAACTTGCTGTGGCCAGCATATTGAAAGAGCAAATTAAGCTATCATGATTAGTTGACTATAGCATACTCTAATCATAACATTTGGTGTTGAGTGATAAAAACTGTCTGATAAAAAAGATACTAAAAGCAATGAAGATGAAGAAACTAACCTTTACCCCAAATAATTCATCAATAACAATCGATGTAAGGAAAACTATCAAAATAAGTATTCCAAAACCCAGTGCTGATGCCAATAGCCAGTTCCTTTCTACAGAGTTAAATTCGAAAATATCCACAAGCCTTTTTTCTGGCCTAATGGTGCTATTTAGAAGAAAGAGAGTAGCAAGCAGTTCCAAAATATCAATTACAAGCAATGATAGTGCCTGCAGAAAACATAGAAACAATATAGAGAAACAACTTAAAGAGTAGGGGTATGCATATTTCGATTTTAACTAAATTCACAGACCGGACCAAACTAATTCGGTTGATGGTCGATTAAAGATTTTTGAACAAACCTACTTAAGAATCTAGCACAAATCATTTTCTGCTAACTTTTTTTAAAGGCACAGGTAAGACTAGAAAATGCAAGTTCAAGTGGAACTTGATCTGAGAATCCAACAGGTTGATGCAAGATATAAATAAAAAAACCTGAGTCTGGGGATCAAGAACAGGTTGACGCAAGATATAAGCAACAATGGAAAGGCCACCAAAACCCATAGGAATATGCAAATTGAACATATACAGAGCCATGGTGCTCCATAAACTCCCTGTCTTCCATGGGATGTCTGATTTCAACACAGATAATCCCTGTCATCCCCATAATACAAAACCCATTTCCACAATTGATCAGAAATTATTAAACACAGATAATTTTAGTTCATAAAAAACAGATATTTAAGAAGAAGAAAAAAGTACATACTTGAGTGGACTTATCTGTATCTTTGTTGTGGGAGCAGCAGTGACACTTGAGAAGAGCAGAACTTAATTTGGTGCTGAAAATGAAGCTACCGAGGAAAGGATTGGTAGATACAGCGAGTGGTTTGCTAAAACAACCGCCGAATGCAGGCTTGAGATTAACCATGGGGTAGGCAAGAATCATTTTTGGTTCTCCCGATAAAACTCTCTTTTAATGCCCTGCTTTCTCCATACAATTCTGTGGTTTATATTGTATGGAACTCTTCAATTTTTATACGGGATGATGATATCAACCAAATTATAAATTTATACAATTCATATTTTGATTCAATATTTATTAAAATATCTATAATATTTGATCAAATTGTCACTACGATCATGATTTTTTAAAAATATTTTGATCTCTATTTTATAGTGTTAACTGTTTATTAACGATTTTATTTATAAATAATTTTTTACCTCAAAATAAAACGTTAAGAATAAAATGCTCCAAAAAAAATAAATATCAAAATGTCTATTTTGAGAAACATTAGGGATTCATTTTAATATTATGCCATAAAAAATTGGTAAACTATGTATTTAGTCATATAATTATTTATGTGGTTTCGTATTAATTATTTAACTATTTAATTTTTTAAAACTATATCTAACATTATGATTTAGTTTCATTTTGAACGTTGCCGCTAAAAATTAGTAAACCTGACGAATTTTGAAGGTTCTATAGATTTTTTAATTTTTCAAAAATTTTAATTTTTTTTACTAAAAAAAGAAAGTTAAGAGATTAAATTAATAAAAAATACTAAAATGTAATTAATCTTTAGAATAAATTACGTATTTAGTCACCTAATTATGCCGTGATTTCATTTTTGATCACCTAACTTTTTTTAAAAAATTATATCTAATGTTACATTTTTGTTACATTTTGGTCACCGACTATTAAAAATAAATAGAATTACTAACATGGTAATTTTTTTTTCAATTTTTGTATGGCATTATCTTATGGTGACATATCAACATCATAGTTAGGGGTGCTTATCGAGCGAGTCGGTCACAAGTTAGGCAGTGCTTGACTTATGCTCGCTAAAAAATGTTGTCGCTCGACTCAACTTGTTTCTTGACTCGGATCATTGCTCATTAAACTCACTGAAACTTGTATATTGTTTTTTTTAACTATAAGTAAAATCTACTAATACAATATAGAAATTAATATAAACATAAATTAACAAATTTAACCAAAATTTTATTAAAAGGGTGTATGAAGCAATTTCAAATTCTAAACTCCAAAGTAACAATTCACAAATATACCAAACTAACGTATTAAAACTATATAACAATCTACAAATAAATCAAACTAACATATTAAAAACATTCTTGAAATAAAAGTTCAACAACACATAATCGATCCTGAAAATAAAGAAATCAACACCTCTTCGCTTTCTTTCAATCACCAAACTACAAAGTTATAAAAAATTATAAAAAAATTATCGAGCTGCTTGCGAACTTATCGAGTTGAGTTGGACTTTGCTCGACTCAACTCGTTAAGGTCTCAAATCAAGTCAACCTGAATCGAGTTTGGAACGAATATTGATCGAGTTGAGTTTGAACTGCTCACGAGCTGTTCAGCTCATTAAGCATCCCTAATCATAGTTAATTCTTTTAACAGAGGGTGACCAAAATGGAACTAAAATGTAATATTAGGTATGATTCTGAAAAGAACAATAATTGAATGACCAGAACATAACCACATGAATATATGGATGACTAAATACGTGGTTTATCCTAATCTTTTAATGGGTGTAAAGCCTAGTTAAATCTACAAAGAAGACATTAGATCTGAAGCGGAAAGCAGCATGGATAACGTGGCCGTGGTGGTGGAGCTCCAGTGAAACTCAAAAAGTTTCGCAAAGATAGTAGAAAATATCGTGAAACTGGAAAAGAAGATTTTCCCAAAGCACGAATCACTTGCTAGATCCTTTGATGAAGAACTGAGAAAGAGCAACAGTGGATTGCTTTGCATGATGGATTTTCATGGAGAGGTTATCGGCTATGCTATGTATTGTTGGCCCTCTTAACTTTCTGCTTCCATAACAAAACTTGCAGATTCATATTCCCTATTCTTTTCTCTTTATTCGAGCATTGGCTTCGCCGATAACATGTTCGATTAAAGTCCCAACTCAAACTTTTATTCTCTTTTCTTTGTTTATACTGTGTTTTATTTGTCTCTCTATGCCCGAAACAGTGAAGGAGAGTCATAGAACGCAAGGCCATGGGGAGGTATTACTAAAGAAGCAATAGAGAAGTGCAGGACCAGAAACGTCCATCGGATATCACTTCACGTTGATCCTCGGAGAATTGCTGCCATGGGTCTTTACAAGAAGCTTGGTTTCAAAGTTGATAGCTTGATCAAGTGTTACTACTCACCTGACAGAGATGCCAATAGAATGTACTTGGATTTCGATTCCAGCTAAGTGCATCAAAGCTTGGAAAGGTTTTCCTTTTCAAGTTAAATGATTTATATATTTCGAAGAAGAAATAGCAGCTTAAAGGATTCATTTTTTCCCTAAATTAAGAAAAAGGGAAGGCACGTTTCTTGGATTTACCGCGACAAATTCTCTCTCTATATATGATATTTCACAGATGGTATACATGAATTGTTCTAGGATAAAAGGAGCAAAGATTAGGGTAAAAACATTGGCTTGGTCAGTCTCACAAGCTATATATATCCGAAAATTTTAAATTATCTTATATTTTGACATAAATTTTATTTGTATTTTATATTGATAATATATTTTCACTTCCTTAAAATATTATAAATTCATCCATCCTAACTTTAATAAGTTTTTCTCCCTAGCATAAAATACGTCTGTCCTGCTTATATCCAAGGGAGAGATGCATAGAGGTGATATCCCCTATTCCCTGTTTGAAGGGATTGGGGGTATGGCAGCATACATTATCCTACACATGATTGAGCCCTTCGGCTCCGGATTCCCGGCATAGGAACTCTAATTTGTAAACTAATACAGTAATCAGTAGGTATTGCTTATCTACTTTTCTGGAACAAATATGCACTTGGATAACACTTGCAATGAAGTATTTGCAATTATGAGATGGGTTGAACCATCTATTAAGTTTCGGAATGTTTGGCAGCACACTTCAGGCTTCAAATGCTTATACTAATTTTTGACTGAAACTGCAGTGATTCTTCAAATGCATTCAAATTTGACAATTACCTCTTCTGTTCTCATTGCAAATATAGGCTTCAACCATGCGAAAATACAGATAGCTCATGGAGTTCTTCCTTTATTTGCTGTGTTTATTGAGGAAGGAGATGATGAGTTGATTCACCTCCTCAGGAAGCTGTTCTTGGACGAAATGGGTTCCTTCTGAAGAAAATGTGACCTCCTAATTGGGCACAAACTCCTTCACTTTGCCAGTCTTAATGTAATCTTTTAGCCCTGGGAATTTCATAAAATAGTCTCTCTCCCATTATCAAAAGTCCTGGAGCTTTGATTTTCCCATCATCCAGCCCACAGGACAGCATCACAATCCTACAAGGCAATATATTTGAGCAAAATACAATCAATTATATGACACAAGATTGATTTGACTATAGTTTCATGGATCTGAAAGCTTCATCTTACCTGTATGGGGCTTGCAGTGCAGTACTGAACGTGCTTTTCTCGTATAAAGATCCATACTCTGCAATATCTTCCTCGCTCATCCATGGCGGTAGAGGAGTAAATGAGTCGACCAAATCCATGATCTCTTGATTATCAGAAGCTGCAACTGGGGGTTCACTTCTGTAGAACATAGTATAAATCTTGCGTACTACTGTCTTTGTGTCGAAGCGGCCAAAATCAGCTTCAGCTCTCCCCGGCACCTGCAGGGAAGGGGATTCACAGCACACAACATAACGGACATGATAAATGGGCCCTAATTTGTAGTACTCACCAACCATCTTAGCAAGTAAAAGCCTGATGGAACGAGAGGAAGTTGAGTTTGGAGTGGAGAGAAACTTGGTAGAAGGAAAGGAACGCCTAGAGAGATGATGGTAGACACTCTTTCAGGGTGAAGTACGCCCACCATGGTGGCCACAAAGGCCCCGAAATCATTGGAAACAAGATGTGCCTGGTTTCAACGGTTGAAAAAGATGAACATATATGCCGGGATTGAGTCCTGTAACATACCAAAGTCGATAAAAGCGGTACCTTACTGATGCCGAAAGAGTCGAAAAGGGCAACGACTTCATCAACAAAGTCGTTAAAGGTTGCCCTCGCTAGTTCTAGTGGATGCTCTGAGAGTCCATAGCCCCTAAAATCAAGAGAAATTGCTCGGTAGCCGGCATCAGCCACCGCAACCATCTGGTGCCTCCATGAATACCAAATTTCAGTGAATCCATGCAAGAATACCACCACCTTAGTACCTGCACGCGCCCACAACCCCCATCATCGTTAGAAACAAGCTATATCTACTAGGAATAATTAGGCAAAATAAACAAATTGGTGTGAAATGAAGCGATTGAGATTAGTTGTACGAGTAATTTCTAACCAGATCCAATCTGGGCTACATGAAGCTTCAGTCCTCTAGCTTGTTCATGGCTATGCTCAATCTTTTCCATTGTTTAGAGAGGTTGATCGAGTGGAGTGAGAGGTTAATGTAATGTGCCTTTCAAAGTATCTGTATCCCGATCCTTTTATAAAACAGAAATGGTTGGTTGTGATTTAATATTAATATATTCCGTGAAATCTTTAATTGATCTCAAACGTCAATTGCATGGAATAATTTATTGTTGGTTGGTCGACGCATATTGGTAAAATGTACGAAATTCAACTGAAATTAAATAATAATATAAATGTTGATGCAAACCCCTCAATTTTGACAAGAGTTATATTTGATCCAAGTCTTTTTGTGTATACTTTATCAGTTGATATTAGTTTTCAAACGTTCTCTGTTTACGCAAACTGAAAAGGCATATACAAATCATTGTTCGCACAACATCCAACAACGTATTTTATTGGCCTCATATTAGGGATGGCAACCGGGTGTATTGGATGTGAATACCTTTCTCCCCATCTTTATATCCGCCTAATATTTTTGTATTCATCACCTACATACTACCCATTCATGATGGGTAAACTTTTTAAATTCACATCCGTTCATATAGGTATATTCTCAAATCCACCCCTGCACCCACTACCTTACTGGATACTCACCACCTATCTCATAGCCGCCTGTATCCGTCCATACCTACCTGACAGTAACCTCAAATATAATATAAGCAACAAAACATAAAGCAAGCACGTCCGCATAATAAAATGTTTATATTCTAACATTTGGTTAAATAAATGTTTGTATCCTAACATTTAATTAAATTACAAGTCATATCTTATAAAATCTTAAGATTTATAAAATAGTCTATGAAATTATACATAAATTCATAATGGTCCAAAATTTATATGGTAATTAGTTAGTGAGCGGGTGAAAGTGGGGCGAGCGGATACGCAGCAGACGGATTTGGAGCGAATACTGTCTCAAACCCATCATCTATCTATTACCCATGGCAGATATGACTTTTTACATGTATACCCACCCACTACCTACTAAATTTATACACATTCTCACCCTAATTAAAGTGTATATAATATAAAATCTATAAAATTGTACCGGTATACCATCCTTACCTCATGTAACTATTATACGTTTTGTGATTAACTCTTCTATTTGAAACGCTAACAAGGGACAATAATAGTACGCCAACATTCATATGAAAGATTACTGATCCTATCTTTTAACGATTCCATTAATCCTAATGAATACCTAGAGTGGGAGATAGCAGTTGACGTTTTCCATTTCTACAGCTATGACATAGAAGATGAGGTACAAATTGTCACAACTTCATTTACAGATTCTATCCTTCATTGCGGAGACTTCTTGGTCTCGAGTAAAAACCTAAATGCATGCATATTTGGTGTGACGTGCATCATGAGAAAATAATTTTGACTATTAAGTATTGTCGATTCAAATACTATACACTCACATGATTGAATATGTCAAATTATTATAATCAATTCAATATGTTAATTTTTTACATAATTAAGAGAGTAAAATATTTTTTATTAATACTTGTGTTCTTCCATTAAATAAAATATGTTAAATTATTATAATCATTCAATAAGATATTATTATTTCTGTACTTCCATTAAATAAAATATTTTAAAAGTTCAATAAATAAAAAAGACTTCAATACAATTTACTTAACATTTGTTTACTTCCATTAAACTTCATACAAAATCCAATCTAAATTAAACTAAATCCAATCCACATTAAATATTGATAAAAAAAATAAATATTAGTAAAATCAAACATTAAGCATTAATACAATAAAAGTATAAAATCAGAAAACCCTAAACCCTTGAATTTCTAAAACGTAAGTCGAAAACCCCCCCAACTCACCCGATCACCTTCCTCGCCTGACTCGAATCCCATCCCACTCATCTCATCTCTAACCTCAGCTGGCGCCGTTCAGGCAGCACCCATCCTCCTCACTCTGTTCTCAGTCAGCCGGCAGCCGCTACAGTCTCATTCAGCCTTTTAACTCGCTTAACTCAGCCCTCACTTGCAAGCAGCCAGCTCGCCTCCTCCTCAAGTCTCTCGCTCTCTCTCTCACTCGAAGATTTCAAGTTTCAACGCGTCTCACAATTCAGAAATCAGGCCTCTCAACGTCAACGGTAAGATTTCTATCTCTCAGACTCTCAGTATCTTTTTAATTAGAAAAGCTTGGTTTTAGATGAAACAAGAAATGCTTGCCATTTTAGTTTTGTATGTTGAGTTTTATATCAAATGTTGGTTTGGTTGGTTCCCATTTAGCTTTGTATATTGCTTTACATTAAATGTCGGTTCGGATCAGTTCCAAAAACAAACCACCGATAAATTGGCCTGTTGGTATTTTCGTTTTTTGGTCAATTTTGGTTCGGTTTCAGTTTTCTGAAATGTTTAAGTTGGCTAAGTCGATTTTATGGTTTTTCGAACATGACCGACCAATTGCATACCCCTATACCTAGCAACGTCTAAAACCCATCCCCAAAATCCCATAGCCCTTTCCATATTTCTTCTTCTTTACCTCCAACTTGGAATCACATGTTCTTTTCTTTTTCAGGACCAATATGCTATGGAGATGCCACTGGGGCATCCTCCCTTCAACGCGAAGAACTGTGGTGCTCAAAGCAGTTCGTTTCATGTCAGTTCACCTTTTTTCAGCTCCAGAGGCAAGTTCAACAGACAAAAATCAAACTTTTTCTTGGGAGAAAAGGAGACTTATTATTACTCCTCAAATTGTTAACTCTACTCTACTGAACTGCCCTTCTAGTTTAATTACTTTGAGCTTTTTCATATGGTGTGCTAAGCAACCCAATTATTTCCATGATGCTCAAGCATTTGATTGTATGGTTAACGTTCTCTCTCAGTTAACTAAAAAGTATGTAACTGTCAGAAGAATTGTTGGGGAATTGGAAAATGTTGGCTGTGTGATAAAACCACAAACTTTCTTGCTTTTGTTGAGGATTTATTGGTGTGGTGGATTATATGAAATGGTTTTTGAGACCTTTTTTGAAATGGACGCTTTTGGGTTTACTCCTAATACATTTGCACGTAATGTTATCATGGATGTTTTGTATAGAATAGGGCATGTTGATGGAGCTATCAAGGTTTTGAAAGAAACCCAATTTCCGAATTTCTTGACTTTTAATATTGCTTTGTGTAATTTATGCAAGTTGGGTGATTTGTCTAACATGAAGAATGTTAGTAGAAGAATGCTCCAGCAGGGATATTATCCTAATGTTAAGACATTTGAGATGGTCTTGAATTGTTTGTGTAAAATGGGTAGGCTAGCAGAGGCATATCAAGTGTTGGGTTTGATGATTACTCTCGGAGTTTCTGTATCAATAAATGTTTGGGGTATATTGATTGATGTTTTTTGTCGGTTTCATCAACCTGATTTGGCATATGCTTTGTTTAATAAGATGCTCAGGACTGGTTGCTCTCCTAATCTGGTGATTTACACTAATTTGATCAAGGGATTCTTGGATTCCAAAATGGTTAACACTGCTTCAAGCATTCTAAATAGAATGGAATCTGATGGATATGTTCCTGACTTGGTTCTCTGTAATGTATTAATAGATTGTTTATCCAAAGTTGGGAGATATGATGATGCATTTGATATTTTCCTGAGTTTGCCAGACAGAAAATTGGTACCTGATTCTTACACATTTTGCTCCTTGTTATCTAACATATGTTTGTCCCGGAGGTTTTCACTATTACCTAATATAGCTAGTGGACTTGCAATAGAAGGGGACCTAATGGTTTGCAATTCCCTACTAAACTACTTTTGCAAGGCTGGCTATCCATTGCATGCTGTAGAATTATATGATTACATGCTTGATAGAGGTTTAACACCTGATAAGTATAGCTTTGTTGGATTACTTTGTGGGCTTTGTGGAGCAGGAAAATTTAATAAAGCTGTTGGTGTTTATCAAGGATTGATAATGTCTTACCGTGGTCTTGATGCTCATGTCTATACTGTCATCATAGATAGGCTCATAAGAGTTGGTAAATATCACACAGCCGTCAAATTGTTTAGGAGGGCACTTGTAGAGAAATATCCTCTAGATGTTGTATCATACAATGTTGTCATCCATGGATATCTCAAGAGTGGAAGGATAGGAGAAGCTTCTACTTTGTACAACCAGATGAAGGAAATTGGTGTTTTACCTAATGCGCACACATATAATTTGGTCATTTCTGGTTTCTGCATGGAAAGAGATGTCGAAATGGTCAAGCAGTTGATGCAAGAAATCAGTGGGACAGAAGTTCAGTTGAACCATCACACTGTGAACAGCGTAGTTAAACTGCTGTTCAAATCATATCCATATCCTTCAGCCTTCAATCAATTAGTTGAAATGTGGAAATCTGGATTGATACCTGATGATGCAATGTATGCACAATTCTCCAAGGGTCCTGCATCTGGAATAAACATTGCTCATGATGAGCGCTTGCGTGTGAGGGATAAAGTATGGGCAGATTCATCTAGCTTTGATGACCTTCCTGATGTGGCTGCTTCTGTTGGCTGAGCTGTTGTCAGCAAATAAGTCATCTCATATCTCAGTAGATGGAGCAGCTTCTTGGATTCTGTGTAGTTGTGCTCTCCAATGGAATGTAATCCCAACTATGAAGGTAAAGTTAGTTGCTCTTTCCGTTTGATAAAATAGTTATCCTACCTTACTAGTTCTTTCAACCAATGCATCACTAACTTGATACGTAGTCTTAATGCCTGAAAGTTAGATATGTAGTCTTATGTATGAATTTGTTGTCCCTAATTTTTATGAAGTACAAGATGCTCATTGAATGTTAAGAGTCCAGTCATTATCTTCCTATCTCCAGAATGAATATAGAAATTCTTTCATAAGCTGAAAATTACCATGCGTATGAATTATACACAGAAATGAAAGCTGCTTGATCCTATATATCTTAAACTATAGTAAAATAAGTTTTGGGACCTATTTTAAGTGTAACATTCCATTTAATAAATTGAATGCTTTCTGATTCTCTAGATAGTTACAAAATCAATTGGTTTGATCTTGTGTAAAGCTTAAACTACAGGTAAAAAATTGTTGCAAGTGACTTAGAAGAGGGCAGTCATTTGTTTTTTAATGTTTCACATGCAATCATTTGTTTTTTAATAGTTTACATGCTACAAGTTTGAATGTTTTATTGGTTTTGGGAAATTTGCAGCCAGGGTCTGTCAGAAAAATGGAGTCTCGAATAGGTTGAGCAGAATATGGTGTGAATGGTTGGGGAAAGAAGCTCCAAGAAATGATGATAAGGTACAGGTTCCAAAGAACGAATTTTCTGTTGTTATTTTTGCTTATAATATTGATCTAGGCAGAAAGAAATTGCTCAATGACGACATATTACTTTTAGCTTATGGTTCTCCCACAGAATTGGGTAATGTTGAATCTGCCAGCAGGAAAAGGAAAGTCATTTTCTGACCCAGAGGATATAAGTGATTCTTTGTGTAATCAGTGCAATTCACCTGGGGAAGACTCTTCAACTTCAAATGGTGCTTCTTCAAACTAGCATTAGATCAATAAGATGATTAGCTTCTGCTCAAAAGATTTATATCAAGTAAGGCTATAAGGTGAGGGTTAAGACGGCAACAATGTATAGCTGCTGAAAGAATGTGTTATGTGTGTTAACAAAAGATGCTTCCTGGGAAAAATGTAGCAACGGTCTTGAACTTGAATACTGGAAAACTTGTTTGCGGTAGTAGAATGGGGTATGATTCTCTACTGAGCCTGGCTCTGATCAGCTTTTAAGTTATTTACGAGTGCCTTAAATAAATTTTCATCTTGTTGGTCAATATGGCCCATTTCATTGTCTCATCTTGAAGCATAACATACTTGTGTATTTAAGTTAAGTCTTGTTTACATCTACCATTTCTTTTAAAAGGAAATTTGTGGCCATTCCATTTATATCACGCTTCATGCCTTATACATTGGATACTTCTGGGAGCTCGAGACAATTAAAAACCATTCAATTAATCCAAAAATAAGGAGAAGAGCTAGGAGACAAATGGAACGAAATGCAGTGAGATGTGAAAGGATTTGAAGATTAAACTTACAGGGTTGCTAATTTCTTCCGTACTTTGCCCAGAGTGTCGAGGTACTGAAATTGAGGTTGAGGGAGATAAGCTGGAGAAGCTGATATCTCTCTGTCTCAGGTATGCGTTTTGTGATCTTAAAAACTGCGCTGCTGTTATTCCAATTGTGTAGATATTTATGTTGGTTAACATGGTTTTTATTGTACTTTCAGATGTTTAGATTCAAGATTAAAGTGAGCGATGGTTGTAGAGCATGAACGAAAAATCCTGAAATGTTGGATAATTGTTGAACAGGGTTTCATTTTTCTTCTGAATCTGGAGAGATGGTTCAGATATCCAGACTTGTGCTCAGTATTCCCCTTTTTGCATCAATGAAAATTGAAGACCTTATATTCACTCAACTTTGGTGTTTGCTGTAAGTATTGCCTCAAAAATTGCTCCATTCACAAGTGTGAATGAGGCACAAGTTTGGTAGGGGCTGAATCATGTGCAATTGACATTAGTAAACCGTAATAAAATCGCTGCATCTCATTCTATTTTTCAGTGATGCGGCTTTATAATTACATGTTGTCTGCAATTTAAATGAACAAGCAATCATTTACTATAATATCAGAAATATGTACTGTACCTTTATACTCATCTACTGTACTTTCTGCCATTCAATTTTAACTTTTGAAATGAGGTGCCGTGGATTTCTTTATCCTAGTCCCCTTTCTTCCAACAAAAGGTTACCCACACATTACAAAGCTACGCCACCACCATTAGCATTATTATCCATATACATCAGTCACACTGTTTACAATTCAATGTGGTCTTGCTCAATAATCAAGCATACATCCATTTCTAAGCAATTTGAATGTTCTTACTCTACAATTACTTCTGGACTTGATAGATTCCTTAGTAGGCAAACCCCCCCCCCCGAATGAAACAATTATGAATTTGTCGAAATCCCTTAAAAATATTAATTATTTTAGAAGACATAAACTAAAAAATGTTTCTTAACATTTGATAAGATAGTTACTATAATCCTTATTATTATTTTTAAGCACTTTAATTTCCGGTGTTTCATTTTGGGATAAAATAGCCCTTGAGTTGAGGAAAATTGTTAGTCGATTCATGATTAATATTTGTTGCTGAAGTGACAAATCTTATGTGTCCAAAGTGGTGATATAAAACATACCACGTGCATAAAGAGATGATATAGTACATGTCATTTATCTATAAATGATGTGTCATATGTTACATGCACATAGTGTGATGATACGATATATGCAACATATACATAAGTAATGGCGTGATACATATCATGTGTACATAAACGATGATTTGAAGTATATTTCACATGTATATAGGTGATGATGTGATATATTATGTCATTATTTTGTATACATAAAATTTGTCATATTAATAATATATTAATCATTAGTCAATTAACCATTATATTCAATAATAAATATTTTATTTAAAAATAAAATATTAAAAATTAAAATGTTTAAAATAATGAGGATAAAAATAATTATTTTATCAAAAGTTTGGGTAGATTTTGACCATGTGTAATGACATAAATGGTTTGGATTAATCGGCTATCAGCTAATGGCTTCCCTCCATTTTCAGTTTGGATATCCGTTTAAAAGAGACTAAGGAGGTGGGTTCCCAGTCAAAGGGCAAGTGCCTACTACTTAGGAGTAGAACCCGAGAGTGTTGGTCTCAGCTCAACTGAGAAGATGACACGCCCGCTCTTTCCCACTGTTTCTATTTTTGATCTTTGTTTTCAGCTTTCTTTTTGTCTAAATCAGAAACCAAACATACCAACACAGCCTCCTCTTTTCTTACTGCCTGTGCAAATGTCCCTCACTGACCGTCCCGCTCCACTCGAAGATGAACCATTCAACGTAATCCCCGTCCACAACCTCCTCGCCGATCACCCTTCCCTTCGTTTCCCCGAAGTACGCGCCGCCGCTGCTGCTCTACGCAACGTCGGAGATCTACGAAAGCCTCCCGACGTACAATGGCACCCTACTATGGACCTCCTCGACTGGCTGGCTCTCTTCTTTGGTTTCCAACGCGATAACGTCAAGAACCAGAGGGAACACCTCGTCCTCCACTTGGCCAACGCGCAGATGCGCCTCTCCTCTCAACCCGACAACATCGACATCCTCGACCCCGGCGTCCTCCGTTCTTTCCTCCGAAAACTCCTCAAAAACTACACAAACTGGTGCTCTTATTTACGCAAGGAATCCAACATATGGTCCAGCAGCCACCCCACCTCTGATCAGCGACGTGACTTACTTTACGTCGGACTTTATTTGTTGATATGGGGTGAAGCTGCGAATCTCCGTTTTATGCCTGAATTCATCTGCTACATATTCCATAACATGGCCATGGAACTAAACAGGATTCTCGAAGATTATACCGACCGGAACACAGGTCAACCTGCTATGCCGTCGACACTCGGAGAAAACGCTTTTCTAAACTCTGTTGTGAAGCCGATATACGAGACGGTAAAGGCGGAAGTTGAGTGTAGCAAGAACGGAACGGCGTCGCATGCTGCTTGGAGGAATTATGATGATTTGAACGAGTACTTTTGGAGCCGGAGATGCTTTCACGAACTCAAGTGGCCGATGGATGTTGAGTGCAAATTTTTTGTTGAATCCAGTAAGAGAAAACGTGCTCGGAAAACAGGGTTCGTTGAGATAAGGTCGTTTTGGAATCTTTACAGGAGTTTTGATAGGCTTTGGGTGATGCATTTTTTGTTTCTGCAAGCCGCAATTCTAGTGGCTTGGGAAGGGGAAGTGTATCCATGGCAAGCATTGAAAAATAGGGATATTCAGGTTAGGATTTTGACGGTGTTTATCTCTTGGAGTGGATTTAGATTTCTGCAGGCTTTATTAGATGTATGGATGCAGCATAGCCTTGTCTCTTTTTCGAAACCGGGGCTGGGCATTAGGATGTTGTTAAAGGCGGTCGTCGCTGTGGCCTGGATCATAATTTTCACATTTCTTCATATAAAGATTTGGGAGCACAGGAAGAATGATAAAACATGGAGCGCTGAGGCTAATAGGTGGGTATTCCTTTACCTACAAGTTGCGTTTGTTTATGTGTTACCGGAGTTATTAGCCTTGGCTCTGTTTGTGCTTCCGTGGATTAGCAACTTTTTTGAGGAGACAAACTGGAAAATATTTTATCTTATGTCATGGTGGTTTCAGAGAAAGAGTTTTGTTGGTCGAGGACTGAGGGAAGGGCTTGTTGATAATGTTAGGTACACCATGTTCTGGACAGTGGTGTTAGCCACAAAATTTGCATTTAGTTATTTCCTGCAGATTCAACCGATGATTAGACCGACCAAACAGTTGTTGGAAATTAAAGAGGACGAGTACGACTGGGACGAGGTATTTCGTGGCCGTAACAAAATCGCTATCGGATTGTTGTGGTTGCCTGTGGTGCTTATTTACTTGATGGATATTCAGATATGGTATTCAATTTATTCCTCCTTCGTGGGAGTAGGAGTAGGGTTATTCCAGCACATAGGTGAGATTAGAACCATCCAGCAATTAAGGCTAAGGTTTCAGTTCTTCGCTAGTGCAATTCAGTTCAATCTGATGCCTGAAGAGCAGTTATTGAATGGCAGAGGATCGCTTCGGGGCAAGTTCGTTGATGCTATTCACCGGTTGAAGCTGAGATATGGGTTTGGGAAACCTTACAAGAAGCTTGAATCAAACCAGATTGAGGCTCACAGGTTTGCTCAGATATGGAATGAGATAATTACCACTTTCAGGGAAGAAGACATTATATCTGATCTAGAAGTTGAGCTGCTAGAGTTACCCCCGAATGCTTGGAATATCAGGATTATCCGCTGGCCATGTTTCTTGCTATGCAATGAGCTGTTGCTTGCTCTCAGCCAGGCAAAAGCGTTGGTGCAAGCTCCTGATAAGTGGATCTGGAATAGAATATGCAAGAATGAATACAGACGTTGCGCCGTGATAGAAGCTTACGACAGTATCAAGCACATGATGCTTGCAATCCTCAATGTCCAGTCTGAGGAGCACTCCATCCTTACTGCTTTGTTTCTGGAAATCAATCATTCTATCGAAATCGAGAGGTTCAGCAAGACATTTAATATGAATGTACTACCTCAGATTCATATAAAGCTGATAAAACTTCTTCAGATATTGATTAAACCGAAGAAAGATGCGAACCAAGTGGTCAATTGCTTGCAGACCCTTTACGAGGTTGCCATCCGTGATTTTATTAAAGACGAGAGGACCATTGAGCAGCTGAGGGAGGATGGACTAGCACCTCGTGACCCTGCTGCGATGGCAGGACTATTGTTTGGAAATGCGGTGAAATTGCCGGACCTCGGTGACGAGAAGTTCTATCGGCAGGCTAGGCGCTTGCTTACAATTCTTACCTCCAGGGATTCTATTCAGAACATTCCGGCTAATATCCAGGCTAGACGTCGACTTGCTTTCTTTAGCAACTCACTCTTCATGAATATGCCTCATGCTCCCCAAGTAGAGAAGATGATGGCTTTTAGTGTCCTCACCCCTTACTACAATGAAGAGGTACTCTATAGCAAAGAACAGCTCGTGACCGGAAACGAAGATGGGATTTCCATCCTGTATTATTTGCAGACCATATATGATGACGAGTGGAAAAACTTCATAGAAAGAATGCGGCGAGAGGGAATGGTAAAAGACGAAGAGATATGGACAACCAAGAAGGAAGAACTAAGGCTCTGGGCATCTTACCGAGGCCAGACACTTTCACGCACTGTTAGAGGAATGATGTATTATTCTAGAGCTCTGAAGCTGCTGGCTTTCCTTGATTCTGCATCAGAGATGGACATTAAAGGGGCACAGGAACTTGGTTCTACTGCGAGAGATGGTTCGGATAGTTTCGACCTTGAGAGGTTGCCTTCTCGAGGTCTCGTATTCCAAGGCCATGAGCAGAGAATGTCTTCAATGAAATTCACATATGTGATTGCTTGCCAGATTTATGGGGCTCAGAAGGCCAAAAAGGATCCACATGCTGAGGAAATCTTATATCTGATGAAACACAATGAACCCCTTCGAGTTGCTTACGTTGATGAAGTTTCCACTGGAAGGGATGAGGAGTATTACTCTGTTCTTGTGAAGTATGATCAGCAATTACAGCAGGAGGTGGAGATCTATCGTGTCAAATTGCCCGGTCCATTGAAGATTGGAGAGGGCAAACCAGAGAATCAAAACCATGCACTTATCTTCACCCGTGGTGATGCTGTTCAAACTATTGATATGAACCAAGACAGCTACTTTGAGGAGGCACTGAAAATTCGCAATCTCTTAGAGGAATATGGTGTAAACTATGGAATACGAAAGCCGACTATCTTGGGTGTGAGGGAACACATTTTTACAGGTTCTGTTTCATCACTTGCTTGGTTTATGTCAGCTCAAGAAACAAGTTTCGTCACTTTGGGGCAACGTGTCTTGGCAAATCCTCTGAAAATCCGGCTGCATTATGGCCATCCAGATATCTTCGACAGGTTTTGGTTTTTGACTCGGGGTGGGCTCAGTAAAGCTTCCAGAGTGATTAACATTAGTGAGGACATTTTTGCTGGCTTCAATTGTACTTTGCGAGGAGGTAATGTCACACATCACGAATACATCCAGGTCGGCAAAGGAAGGGATGTCGGATTGAATCAGATATCCATGTTTGAAGCCAAGGTTGCTAGTGGGAATGGTGAGCAAGTTCTCAGCAGAGATGTCTATCGGCTGGGTCACAGACTTGACTTCCTCCGGATGTTATCATTCTTTTATACTACTGTAGGTTTCTTTTTCAATACGATGATGGTCATTCTAACCGTATATTCTTTTCTTTGGGGCCGACTTTATCTTGCTCTTAGTGGCATTGAGGATGTTGCCTTGGCTGACAGCAACACCAATAAAGCTCTGGGTGCCATCTTGAATCAACAGTTCATCATCCAACTTGGACTTTTCACTGCCCTTCCAATGATAGTGGAGAATTCCCTTGAACATGGATTCCTTGAAGCGATCTGGGATTTCTTGACAATGCAGCTTCAGCTTTCATCTGTTTTCTACACTTTTTCCATGGGAACCCGCACTCACTTCTTCGGTCGGACTGTCCTTCACGGTGGTGCCAAGTATCGGGCAACTGGCCGTGGTTTTGTTGTGCAGCACAAGAGTTTTTCAGAAAATTACAGATTGTATGCTCGCAGCCATTTTATAAAGGCTATTGAGCTTGGTCTAATACTTACAGTTTATGCATCTTACAGTCCTTTAGCCAAGGACACATTTGTTTACATAGCTATGACTGTCTCAAGCTGGTTTCTGGTCCTATCATGGATTATGGCACCCTTTGTATTCAATCCTTCTGGTTTTGATTGGTTAAAGATGGTTTACGACTTTGATGAATTTGTGAACTGGATATGGTACCGTGGTAGTGTGTTTGCAAAGGCTGAACAGAGCTGGGAGAGATGGTGGTACGAGGAGCAGGAACATCTGAGGATAACAGGCCCCTGGGGAAGGCGAGTGGAGATACTGTTAGATCTTCGATTTTTCTTTTTCCAGTATGGAATGGTATACCATCTGGGTATTGCTGATCACAGTACTAGTCTTGTTGTTTACTTCCTGTCTTGGATCTACATTTTCGTGGCATTTGGAATCTATCTGGTTATCTCATATGCTCGGGACAAATATGCAGCTAAGAAACACATATATTTCCGGCTTATTCAGTTCATCGTCATCATTCTCGGAATACTTCTTATAGTTGTACTGCTTGAATTTACAGCCTTTAAATTTTCAGACATTTTCACCAGTCTATTGGCTTTTCTTCCCACCGGCTGGGGACTTTTATCTATTGCGCAAGTACTTCGGCCGTTACTGCAGCCTACCTGGCTTTGGGGTTCAGTGATTTATGCGGCTCGGGTATATGATATAATGTTTGGTGTTATTGTTATGACCCCGGTGGCAATTTTGTCGTGGATGCCCGGACTTCAGTCAATGCAGACAAGGATCTTATTCAATGAAGCATTTAGCAGGGGTCTAAGGATCTTCCAGATTGTTACCGGGGTGAAATCCAGATCCAGCTACTCGTAGTTTTTGGTAATTTATCAGAACTTAATAGTCTGGTTCATGCTTTGTTTCTGCCCTGAGATATATTATAACCATTCTAATGCTCTATACTTTGTTTTCATGTTGATTTACAAGAGTACTAGATTTACATGTTGCAGGTTTGAATTTGTGGACTAGTTGATTGGTTCTATCAAGATTTCGAGCAATAATGATGATGTGGCCGCCATTAGTTCCGTTTTGAACGAGAGAGAGAGCCTTCTTAATCGGCAACTTCAACTCGAAAAACAGCTCGTTTTGCAGTTTTGAATAGCTTTAGTGTTGAGTTGTGAGATGGTAGAATTCTTTGTTATTCTTTTGTCAGAACAGAAATGCAGCTATTTGTTCATTCATAATTCATATAATATAGAGAGAGAGTTTATTCTCCTAATCAATATAACAAAAAGGAAATGAATGAGTTTCACGCGATACAAGTGAAGTTTCTCACCCAGTATCTTTAGTCTGTCTTGGAACACAGTTTCTTCAAGTTTCCTGTTTGCTGAAGAAATCCTTGGATTCTGGTGTTGTACTGTGAGATTGTGGATTGATGGGTTTTGGACACATTTAAAACCTCTATTATAATTGAATCACTTTTAATTTTTGTTATTTTAAATATTTACTTTCACTCCTAAGATCTACCAAATAATGTGACATACTTTGAAAAAGTAAAAATAGCTACATGCTCTATAATTTGAATTATAAACGCAAATATGAATAGTTGCAATAATTAGCACCAGTGGTCTAGTTGTAGCATAGTGCTCTGCCACGGTGCAGACCCGGATTCGATTCCCGGCTGTTGCAAACATTTTTGCATGAGCGCAAAGGCCCATTAAATGGTAGCAACAAACGAGAGAGTAAATGAGAAATGATACTGGTTTACATGAGACGTTTGCACCCAACAAAGCAAGGTTGCAAACTCAAAGAGTCATGTTTGGCAAAATTGATTCTTGTTATTACAACTCTAAATAAGAAAACTGTGTTAAACAAAGAGTGGGTAAATTGGAAGAATCTTAACATGTTTTTCCAGGTTCTTCCGTTTACAAGTTTCCACGTATTTGTTGAGATACACTTGCCTGGGAGACCAATGAATATATTCTCTGCCCCATTATGTGTTTTCAGAATATCATTTTCATCTTATCATTATACGCCCTACCAAATCAACCCATGTTGGCGGATCTAGAAATAAAAAATGGGGATTATTATAAAGGTTATACCTTTCCCTGAAAATGTAGTGTTTAATCTGGTTTAGTGGATTAGATAAAATCAGTAGTCTTTTTTAAAAAGATAAAATCATTAGTTTGATAAGAGTTAAGATAATATTTTTTTTGTGTGATTTTGATGATTAAAATGAAAATGCTCCAAAAGTTCAATGACTACCCAAATAATTTACCCTTAAAGTTATAACCTATAACTTTTTTTAAGGCATAATATCAAATACTCCTAATCGTTTGATAAATTAGTCACTTCAACTCTTTTTCTTTATTTATAAAATTTTAGAATATAACGTTTTATTTTGGGGGGAAATATCTCTCTATGGATGAAAACTGTTAGTTAATAAATTGTTAACCCTAAAAGTAGATGCATTTTTTACCTTAAAAGTAAATGCTTTGGGCTAAAATGCTTCAGGAGAAATAATAAGGGTCAAAAATTACTATTTAGTCAAACATTATGAATCTTTTTGTTTTAAAATAAAACAATGAAAGTCAAAATGATCCAAATATATGTATATATATATAATTATTTTAGTAAATGGGAGAATAATTTTGATATTATTCCTTTTTAAAAAGGAAAACCCCTTAAAAAGGAAAAAAAAAAAGTTAAGAAAGCTCTCCTCCATCATAACAAAACTACAAAAGTGTGAATACATAGTATTTTACTTTCTTCAAACTAGTTGCCCAAACCACTCTGTGCCCATTGTTTTGTTTGGAACTAAATAGCGATCTTCTATTCAAATGACAATAAAGCCCTCATCGTTTTTAGTATACATTATGTGCCCACTGTATTCCCAAAAGTATCCAATAACAGATTGGTTCTATACATTACGTAGGATTCCAATTGCATCAGAATTTGTCCTCTCTCTTTCGTCTCCAAACTGTGTAATTTCTAGCATATTTTACAAATTAAAAGTAGTTAAATACATAATTAGCCTGATCCATACATACATACATACATACATGAGGGTATTTCCGTCCCAAAGCTTTACTTAAAAACTAGAATATTCTAACATGGTTTAGGATTTAGGTATCTAAAGCAGGTGTTATTAGAGGTATTTTCGTCGGTTTAATTTTTTTAATAAAAGATAAATTGAATCATACTATATAACTTCTTAAAAAAGAAATCGAAATAAAAAATGATTGACGTAAAAACAATAATTTTTTTATTTAACAATAATTTTTTTATTTAGTTTGATTCGGTTCAATTTTACATTTTTAACTATGTTACTATTTTTCAAACTCAACATTAAAAAAATAAATAACCTTCAAATACAAATACAAAAATTTAAATTCACAATATATATATATATATATTACTAGATTTAGGATTTTATTTATTTAAAACAAATTTGAAATAGAATTTATTTATATTATTATTTCTTATTTTTTTAATTTGGTTTATTTTAAAATAAACGAATTTTATATGAAAAAACCTTTGCCGTGTTTAAGAAAATAGGATGAGATCAAAATCAAATCGACTTATAAAATTAAAAGTCTAAATATAACTAAAACCAAACCACAAAATAAAATTCCAAACCAAATAGATAAGACAGAGCCCTTCTGCTTCGATTCTTGATTTCCCCCTAATCGTTGATTATTGTTAAATACCTAATCATTGGAAAGGGACAGCGATCAATCATTCTTTCAACTGGTAAACAAAAAGCTAGTTTCCTTTGATTGGTTAATCCGACGTGGATCGTAGCTGTCTACCCCAACATAATAATTAACATGAGCTTCATGCTTTTTATAAACATTTCTCGAACTCTATTCTAAATCTTTAGAATTGTCACATGTTTCTCCTTATATATCATTATTAAATTATCAGTTTAATATGTATCAGTTTCATCTTTATGTTAGTATTTAATTTATTATTGTTTTATTACAAATTGCTACCCAATTTAACAGAATTTTTCATGCGTGTAATAAAATAAAAAATCTCAAAAAATATATAAAATTCCAAAAATATTACAAATGAATTTAAAAACTCAAATTTTTAGAATTTTAATTATCGTTTATTTTAATTAAAAATTCATTAAACAATTAAAATAAAAATTTGAAAATTTTCAAAAAAAAAAAAATAGAAGTTTGAGTTTTCAAAAAGAAATCTTGTATTTTTAAGGATTTTACATTTTTTGATAGTATGATATGATTATAACAATATTTATTTAAAAAAATATTTATCCTAAAATTAATGACAAACTATATTTTTAAAATGCTAAAGTTGCATCAGAATTCGTCTTATCTCTTTCTACTTAAAAATGTACAATTTTGTTATTTTTAATCTAATACTAGCAAATTTAAAGTATAAAATTTATCCAAGTTAAAAATAAAATTAGCTTTGAGGAGGGAAAGTGGGGAATCAGTCTTCTGAAATTTTATATTTTAAATTTTTCTATGTATATCTTATTGATAATATATTTTTATATCTCAAAACTTTATAGGTTCGCACTCTTATAAACTCATATGCTCTTACAATAAATCTTATGTTCGTCTATAGTTTAATCCAAACATTGTCCCACCGAAAGCATAACTTAGAAACTGGAATATTCCGTCCGACACAAAGTGGGTAAGCTTTCCTATCAGACAAAACCGAGTAGTAGCCTTCTGCGTCGATTCTCGATTTCCCCATTTCGATAGAGATTAGGCTCTAATCTTTCATTATTGTTAAATCCCTAATCATTATAATAGAACAACAATCATCATTCTTTAAATTATAAAACAAAAAAGCTAATAATACTATATCCAAACTGCTCTCCCTTTATTGGATAATCTGACGTGGATCGTAGCTGTCTATCCCAAAATAATAATTCAGCTAGCTTCATGTTTTTTATATGCATTCTCTCTAACTCTATTTTAATTTTTTATGCTTATTACATGTTTCGCCCTATATTATTATTAAATTATTAGTTTAATATGTATATATTATTTTTCAGTTTCATCTTTATATTATTATTTAATTGTTTCAAAACATTGATTAAATTCTCTTTTATTTAATTATCATTTAAAAATACATTATAATGGATTGAATTTTGATCGCTCAATCTACTAAAATCGCTTTAATTTTAATTAACATTAATTTTTATGTTCAATCTTGTATAATCTTTTCTATTCTCTTTATAAAAAATAAATTTAATTAATATTATTTTATCAATTTAAAAATTATAAATTTAAACATATTTATGCGCGTAATCTACGAGTTGGAGGCTTTAATATATTTACACATCGTCCGATAATAACTTGCCACGTTGTTTGACCAGGGCAGTTGGTTTATCCACCTATGAAGTTTGGGTCCCACGTAGGACCCAACACGCTATGCTAGTTGCTATAAATTTAGTAAACAATTTTGATTTTTGGGAACCAAAATTTTGATATTCCTAACAAGGAAAGGAAACCCCTGGTGGCCGGAGAAATGGAAAAGATGTCAGTGGCAAGACAAAATTCGGAGGAAATCGACAATTTTCTTGACGGAGCAGCGAGTTTCGCCGACATGATTTTTGGGTTCTTGGATGGAAGCAACGAGTCGGAGGAAAATTCAGGGGACTTGGTTGACCATGATGAAAATGCCGACGACCAGGAGGTCGAACAGAACAACCTTTTCTGGGAAGCCCAACGACAGCTTCTTCAGGTAAACATAAAAAACATTTAGTTCGAATGAAGAAATTTAAAGATTAGGCGATTAATGTTCATGCATTGCAATTGCAGGCAACATTGCGCAGAACTACTTGTCTCGAATCAAGAATTCGACAAGCTACAAAACAAGCATTGAGCGAAATAAAGCAGTGCGGTTGTCGGGTCGGAGGTTGCCGGAACTGTCTACAAAGGGAACTCTCGGTTCGTCTCCAAAACGCGGGTTTCAATTGTTACATTTGCAAGTCGAAATGGAGGAGCTCCCCTGAAATTCCCTCCGGAGAGCACACGTATCTGGAAGTGTTGGATAAATCATCGAATCCCAAAAAGGGAGAGGTAAGGGTGGTGATTGAGTTGAATTTCCGAGCTGAATTCGAAATGGCGAGGGCCAACGAGGATTACAACACGTTGATCGCCCGTTTACCGGAACTATTGGTCGGCAAAACAGAGAGGGTAAACGCCTTGATCAAGATCTTATGCGCCGCTTCCAAAAAATGCATGAAGGAGAAGAAGATGCACCTGGCTCCGTGGAGAAAGCAAAAGTACATGGAAGCCAAGTGGCTTGGAACATACGAGAGGACGGCGGCGGCGCCTTTACCGGTGGGACACTTGGAGACGCGCCCACAAAAACCCAAGGCGTCCATGCTGACCTTTGATCTGGTGGACAGATTGCCAGGGTTGTATTGCACTCCTGTTGAACTTGTGTGGTGAATATGGTGATGAAGAGAAGCTTAATTTTCATGGCGGAAACAAATTAAAATATTAATCATAATTTTCAGCTCCTATTGATCGTATATGTATATAATTAAAATGATTTTATTATGGAGGATTTCTCTGTTGGGTTTAAACTTACTTTTAGTACTAAATTTGATAATATTTTTATTTGATCCTTTTAACTTAGATTTCTGGTATATTTGTGATGCAATATTCTAAGAATGTGTCATGTATCATGGACCAAAAACTAGTTGTTTTATCCCTAATATTAACTAAGAAGGTAACCTACACAAATGGTTAGAATTTAAACATTATGTATCATTTTAGCCACGCTATCGATAACCAGTTGATTTGATGGGATAAAACATTAAATTTTTAAGTAAAAGTCAGGGGTTCAATTACTGATATTTTTAACTAATGATTCAATTGAGGAATCTAATTCACACCTCAAGGATCAATATCCATATCCTGCTAATTTCACCCCCTCCTCAAATGGTAAATTTACCGCAAAAAACTAGCACAGTAACATTTTTTTGGAACGAAACGTCAACTTCATTAACAATAATTGAACTGACATCAACTGAATGTTTCTTTGGAATACGGACAACAAACAAGAAGGCCCTCCTCAAATGTTAGATTCTTTAAGATTAAAAGTTTTAATCTTAGTATTATAAATAGAGTAAATATAATTGAAAATGTTATTATAATGGGTTTTTTATTTTATTTTTAATTTGAATTAATTGATTAATAATTTAAATAGAAAATGTTAAAAAGAAAAAACATAAGGATTTGTAGAAGCATTTTATTCTAGAAATTTCATCCGGATAACTTAATAATACATATCATTGAATCAATTCTATTGTTAGGAAAAAAATATTAGATGGGTTCGTCTTACCACGTCATACGTAGTTCTAAACAATAAAATTTATTCATTTCATTTTTTTGAATGAATCTTCATCTCTTTCTTATATATAAATAAAAAGTAAGTAATTATTTAAAAGTTAGTTTGAGATAAATATATTTTATTGATTAGGATTAAATATGACGGGATGACTCGAATTTATCTAGTCATTTCTACAATACATTGTAAGACTCCCGGAGAGATACAGCAATACAACACCAAACTGACAGCAGGATATATGGCTGCACGTATATATAATATATTATATTTGTGTGAAACCAGGAGCTTTCGCCATTTAAAACGGTTTCCAATAACAATTTATTATCCGTTCAACAATTTCAAGGCTGTCGTAGGCTACGACTGTTAAATGGGAACTTCTGGATTTCGACCTCCATGAAAGAAATATGCAGCATCATATGCGGTAATATTGGAACTTCTGGATTTCGTTTTCAATACAACGAAATCCAGAAGTTCGACAATCACCGGTAAATTCTGTCTTCTCAGGAAAAAAGATGATCAATCCCCCTCCCCAGTCCAATGCTAACTAGAAAATTCCATAGTTTATATCCACGCAGATCAGCAAACCTGATCAAGCCAGGGGCTTATACATTAGTGCAATGCATTCACATTTAACCATCCGGAATGTAGTGCTTATTGAGGTAAAGACTAGAAAATAACAGCAGTTCATCATACACTGTCATTAGTTTTCCTTTCATAAACATCATTATTTTACAAGACATCAAGTAACACTCTGCAGTTTCAAGAAAATTGTACAAAGCATTCAGTCATGATCTATACTAACGAAAGGGAAGACAAATGAGAAGATTGTCAGGCTTCAAATCACCACGAATGATGCCAACTCTATGCAAAGTTTCCAACGTATAAAGCATCTCCGTAGTGTAATAAATACACAGTACCTCTTCCATGAACTTTAACCAAATTGCAGCATCACAAAAATTACCTATCTTATAAACATTGTATTCTTTTAACGTTTCTAACAATATTCAATTTCCTCAATTTCAGTGAGATGTATATTTAATTGTATTTGCTGAATTTGTTTTTGTTTCTTTATTTTCTATGGATCCCCTTATGGTAGCATCAACAGCAAATTCTCTAGGCCGTAGAAATCTTATAAGATGTGTATGGCACCTGACAATTTTTCATCAGCCTCTAGTATATTTAGGCAAATCAATACGTTCTAAAACACTCTCCTCTACAGACCCTACAGAGTTTTGTTAAGGATACCGATAAATCTGGTGATGGTGTCTTGTGTTACAGATCAATTGTGAAGCAGCAAAACTTATCCTTATCACGGCATCCTTGCTTCTTGCCTGGACTTGCAAAAGGAAGACAGGCATTTTATTGACGTAATAACCTGATAAATCCAACACAACGAAACTGTAGATTATTTGTACGGCTTGTCCATTGCTAGATTTTGTCTGGGCCTTGCCTTAATTTGCCTCTAAAAATTTATAGCCTCCACGACCCTTGCTTGAGTTTCCCAAGCCGGAGAAACTCATGTGCTCTGTAATATGAACAAGCCCAATTAAATAACCTCTAGATTAACAAAATACGACTCGATTCGATTTTTTAGTTCAAATCGAATTTAAAATAAAATTTAAATAACTCAAAAATTTTAATAATTAGTGAATTAATTTTTAATTTCGATTTGAGTCTCTCAATTTTACATGATATATGTATAAATTACATTTGAAAAAAATGAAGAAATATATATGTATATCATATATAATTATAAACAATCGATCAAATTGGATCAAATAGTATCATAACATAACAAATATTTATAATTAAAATAGATATAAACTCAAATAACTTGACTTGATTCAATTTTAAAAAAATTAAATAAAATTTGAATTATAAAATAAGACTCGTCAACTCGATTAATTCAAAAATTTTAACTCGACACGATCGGATTGAATACTCATTATATATTTGAACTCAGTGCATGATGGGTATCTGTAGTTGGAAAATAGTAAAAAAGTGAGGCTTGGTTTCCAACTTCAAAAGCATGGGCTAAACTTTGTATCTTTTTTCTGATTAAAAAGCCTTCTTTTTAATGTCTTTTGAATCATTTAAAGGTCGAAGATTGTTAGCTGATTCAAACAAATTCTGCACTTGAGGGTTTCATGGTGGATTAACTGATCTCAGTACACGACTTAGCCTTTCCGTCATTTAAATTGACAAGGAGACGCCACTTGTTGGACTCTTTGATCCCAAAAATTCCAAAACCATGAGGAGGATCGATGCATTATTTGTCAAATTAGCTGATCTATTCTCATATATAATGGGGGTAAGGGGAGGTATGATAGTCGACTATTCCCAACGTCAGGTTAAGAATAACTTTTAAAATTATGAATTACTCACTGTAAAATTTGATTTCACAACCACAAGATTAAGAGTTTACCAATTGAGCTGACGACAATTTGTCAGCTCACCAGAAAAAGTAAAATCCAAATTAAGCCCACTCAGATGCTCTGATTGCTCAATAATATACCGACACATAGCAAAATCTTGCGTGCTGCGCATTGTTAAGTTGCCACATACGCCTTTTTGCATGCACATCCCTAATGGTGTGCAGCCACGCAGCTATTTGTCAGATTCTCTCTCTACCACTAGCCTCTCTATTTATCTAAACCTCCTTTTGTTTCCTCTTCACTCAAGATCTAAAGCTAATATTCCTTTCTCTTTTTTTCCTGTTTTGATTCTGAAAGATGAGCACCGCTTGTGCTGAGCAACGAAATAAGTTCACGGTTTTGAAAGATATTGAGATTCCTCCAAGGAAGCTTCTGTTTTCACATAATCACGTCCAAGATAACGCCGCCATGCAACTTTCTCCCAACGAAGCTGTCCTCCAGAAATATCTACTTTCCAACAGGAATAATAATGGTGAAGATGAAGAGAATGATGCTGATCCCTATGCGGCTGACCATTTCCGCATGTATGAATTCAAGGTGAGGAAGTGTACGAGGAGCAGGAGTCACGATTGGACCGACTGTCCCTTCGCTCATCCCGGAGAGAAGGCCCGCCGTCGTGACCCTCGTCGCTACCCCTACTCCTCCACCATCTGCTCCGACTTCCTTCGTGGCGGCAGATGTCCTCGTGGGGATGATTGTGATTTCGCGCACGGGGTGTTCGAGTGCTGGCTGCACCCTACCCGTTACAGGACCGAAGCATGTAAGGATGGCAAGAACTGCAAGCGCAAGGTTTGTTTCTTCGCTCACTCTTCTCGTGAGCTACGTCTCTTGCCTGCCGAGGCATCTCCGAAGTACAAGAATTCAGGCTCTTGCAGCTCTTCCCCATTGAGCAGGAATACCCATTGCTGCTTGTTTTGTCACTCTGCTACCTCGTCCCCCACGAGCACTCTGTTGGGTTTGTCTCATTTATCAAGATCACCATCTTTATCACCGTCATTGTCTCCTGTGAAGCAACAGGCATCTTTAAATGGGTTTTCACCCATTTATAGTTACAGTCATCACCCGAGTAAGCTCGGAACCGAAACCATGAGTTACAGTCACGTGCTTAATGAGCTGATGAGCTCTATGGAGAAGATGAATTTCTATGAAGCCTCTTCACCTGTGGCTGTTGGGAACATTCCCTGGCTTGATGTTGATGTTCACCTCAAAGGGGAAGTCCATAGCCAGACACAGTTTGCTCTATCTCCTTCCTGGCCAAGTCCATGTGCCCGGAGAGAACATTTTGGTGCAACCTCGAAGCCCTTTGGTGGTGATGACGAGAAGCGCAATGAAAATGGCGTGGGCTGTGATTCTGATCCCGATCTTGGGTGGGTGAATGAGCTGTTGATGTAGAGAGGATGACGACGACGAAAACAACAGGAGAGAATCACATGTGTTGATACTGTCATGGAACAGCCGTACCTATATATATATCCGATCTTAAAAGTGTATATATATCTGTGTGATTGCTGATCTGATTATTGGTTTGAAGCCCTCAATTGTCTTATTTCGAATTCAGATTGTTAAGTTTGTATTGGGTTTTGCTTTTAATTCTGTTGGCAAGACCTTTCGAAGATATATGATGAATATGATCTTCCTTTATATTTTATGTAATAAAACTTTGCAGTTATTGAAGCAGATATTTTATTTCTCCAAAGTCCACATCCAGCATGTGTAACCTAATACTGGTAATGACGCCTTTATGGGTCCAAATATCATTCTTAAATACGATTCCAAGACAACATGACACCCTGGACACGTGGCGGACATGCAAGAGCTAAGGTGGCTCCAGCGACCAAATCTTAAGGATTCTTAGGTTTAGGCCAGATACAGTATATAATATATTTCTTTAATCTCTTTGGGGGTTAAATAATAACGAAGAAAAAAGAAAAAGAGAGGATAAAAGCAGCAGAAATAGTAGTCACGCGACTGGTTTGAACTCCCTATAAGATCTTCGGCATTTGTGTGTGCGTATTGTTAATTATTATTGGTTTAGTTTTAATAAATATTTTTTATTTTTAAAGTATATATATATATATATATATATATTAATAATATAAAATTTTTATGTGGAATATTTTAAAATAATATTTAGTAATGGATCTAAAGGCCACTGCTAATGATCCACTCATGCCAGCCGTCTTCATTTTCTTTGGCTCTCATTTTCTGCATTTCATTTATTAGTTTGCGATTTTGAGTCATTCCCTGGACTAGAGTCCCCCTCCTGGCTCCTTCCCTTCTGCCCCGCGACTTACCACTTAATAATGGCTGCCCATCTTTGAGGTTCACACCCATATTTCATTAAATAATACCAGAATATACGTTAAATTAATTAAATTATTAATTTTCAATTCAATCAACTTTATAATCATTTTAATTTTTTAATAATGACGTGATGATAATACATCAATATCATCATTAATTTTTTAACTATTATTAATTTTTTTAACGGTAGGTAACAAAAATAAAATTAGAATATAATTTTAAAAAATAATAAATGAATTGACCAAAATAAAATTACATGAGTAATTGATGATTAAATACATAATTTATCAAAGTTAAAATTGAATGCATCCATTTAAATGAATAAAAGAAAATGTGGAAAAGCAAAATGAAAAATAAAACCTTTTCCAAATAAACCAAAGTTGAAACTTGTGATTGAAAAAATAAGACAAAAGCCGTGGGTTCCACGTATCATTTTTGACAATTATTTTAATAATTTTATATGTATAATGGAATAATATTTGATTGTTTAAAGAGATCAAGTATCGCCTCCATACTTAATACTTGATTGTTATGTGACTTATTTATTATCGGATTGCTTAATGAGACTAGATGATGTTGTAGTGCTATTCATGTGGTTATACCTAGAACATTTTTTTTTTGTTATTGATTATTGTTTGATGTTAGGTAAAATCAGATAATCTTTTGTTATTGACAAAGTTATGTTGCTAAGTCTTAGAAATCAGAAGTAGGGTTCACATGAGAACTTTAAAATAAGACTCGTAATTGATTGTTCATATGCATGCCATACTTATGGGTTCTGATACATATTTATAGTTATTGCTCTCTGCTCGTATTACTAGCATGCTTATTTTTATGAATTTCACAATGTACAGAAAATTAGTAGTGTACTATTGAGTCTGTAAAACTTATCCTCCTTCGTATGTTTCAATTTACATGTTAGTTAATCACGATTATTCAATTGATGACACATGTCATTCATGCGGATGATTCGATTGATTATTTTATTTAATATTAAAAGCTTAATTTAGTATAAAGTTTAAAATAACAATAATAAATTTAAATAGTTTATTTTTTAAAATTAAAATTAATATATACATAGAGAAACTTGATTAGTTACATTTTCAGTTATAAAAAAATTCAGTTGTGTAAATTTTTATGAGGATTTAATTGATTTTTTATTTTTTTAATTGGAGTTTTTCCCTATCATTGAGCCTAAATTAAATAATAATTCAAATAAACTTTTTGATATGATTTTTGATATCTGATCAATTGATAAAAAATTAAGATTTGATCCCAATTTATTCTTACTACTCAAACCCAAATTGTTTTTGAGTGAACATCCATGGTTAGGACACCAGACACTGGAGTTTAGCAGTCGGTGTTCGAAGCTTATGCTTTGGTTGAACCAATTCATGGAGACTCTCTTGTTGCGTTTGATTTACCCATATCATAATTTTGATGCATCACACCCCTTTGAATTTGTGTTCTGTGCCACCCATTGCCTTATCTCTCTCCTATAATCAGGATGAAAAATCTATCTGCCCGTCTTTGTCGGCATTCGCCATGGCCAGCCCGATGCTAAAAACTAGCTTATCATCGGTGTGGGATCAGAATGTTCAATTGAAATAATTGATTGGGAGCAAAGATTTGACCCTCTCCACTGTTTAGTTTTATGATTGATTATGACTTATGTACTGAAATTTGGAAGATTTCTGATCTAACGGTTCATATTTAAAAGAAAAGTGTTGATGATAGTAATACATATTGTTTTATTTAAAAAAAAATCTAGATTCGAATCATAAAATTCATTAGAAAATCTCCACTTTCTTTTGTTTGGGAGGTGGGATTGTGTAGGTTTTATACCTGGTCATCATGTCTCTTGTTAACTGCAACTAGAGGCGGTAGCAAGCACGAAGATGGAAAATGGTTCACAGAAGTGGCGTTTCCAAAGGAACAAAAGGCTGAGCCGGACATCGGTGATCAGCCTACGAGGAATTGTCGAGATGTTAATCGGAAATCTCAGCACTGATGATCCAAGACCCATCGTTCCCCTCGGCAAAGGCGACCCCTCGCAATTTCCATGCTTTCGGCCTTCCAAGACAGCGGAAGAGGCTGTAGTCGATGCCTTTCACTCAGCCAAGTATAATGGTTATGCATCTACTGCTGGAGTTCCCTCTGCCAGAAGGTAAAAATATAAAACAAATTACTCTATCATTCAAAATGTTCCTATATGTATTAATGCTTGCTATTAGTTGTCATGCAAAATTATTAGTTGTCATACAATTAATAATAGTTGTATAATACATAATAATGATTCATAATGCATTGTAAGTTGGCAACAATAATGATTTATAGTTTGCACTAATAATGGTTGAAAAGTGACATGGCAAAATCTCACATTTAGTCATTGTAATTTAGGGTATTTTCAAGATTAGTTCTTAAAGCTTCTACTATAAATACCCTAACTCATTTAGCTTCAAAATCATCCCAAAGCATTCTAGCTTTCTTCCAATACTAGAGAGAATTTAGAGAGTTTCTTGAGAGTTGTTTTCTCCTTTTTATCAATAGAGAATTATTATTGTTTTCTCTTTGGTAGATTGAGAGAAGTTGTAATTCATGTATTATCATAGTGAAATTCTTCTACCGTTACCCGTGGTTTTTACCCTATATTATTTAGGGGTTTTCCACGTAAATTTTGTATCTTCTTTATCTTCATTTTTATTTTCTCAAATTATCAGTTACGATTTTTCTCTATCCGATAGTCGTCATCCGTAACAATTGGTATCAGAGCCAGATTTGAGTGTGTAATATCTGCTTATTGTCTTTGTGATTACCATCAAAAGGTGGATCCTCAAACATAAGAAAGTAAGAAGGTATTACTCATTCTTTAAAGGTTCCAGAGAACTATTCACGATAGTGAAATAGTGAGAGCTATCCGTAATAAAAGCCATGGCAACGAAATTTGATATTGAAAATTTAATGGGAGAAATTTCTCATTGTGTAAATTGAAGATGAAGGTCATCCTGAGGAAAGACGGTTGTCTAGCAGCTATCAGTGAAAAGGCAGTAGATTTCACAGACGACAACAAATGGATCGAAATGGATATGAATGCTATGACAAACTTTCATATAGCATTAGCAGATGAAGTATTGCCAAGCATCGAGGAGAAGAAGACAGCTAAGGAGATATGGGATCATCTCACCAAATTGTACGAGGCCAAATCGTTGCACAATAAAATTTTCCTTAAGAGGAAATTGTACACTCTCCGGATGTCAGAATCTACTTCAGTGACGGAGCACTTAAACACACTGAACACTTTATTTTCTCAGCTTACATCCTTAAGCTGTAAAATAGTAGAAAAAGAACGTGCTGAACTTCTACTTCAAAGTCTACCGGATTCGTATGATTAACTCATCATCAACTTGACAAACAGTACTGTCACCAGTCTAGTCTTCGATGACGTTGTAGCTGTTGTTCTACAAGAAGAAAATCGGTGCAAGAACAAGGAAGACAGACAAGTAAATCTGCAACAAGCAGAAGCGTTGACAATAATGAGAGGGAGATCAACATAACGTGGCCAAAGCAGCAGTCACAAACATGGTAGATCGAAGTCAAGAAGCAAGAAGAATTTAAAGTGCTACAACTGTGGAAAGAATGGTCACTTGAAGAATGATTGTTGGAGTCTAAATAAAAACTCCAATCCACAAGGCAATACTGCAAACACTTCAGATGATGGAGATACTCTATGCTGTGAAGCGTCAACCACCGTAGAAGGTAGAAAGAGATATACAGACATATGGCTCATTGATTCGGGAGCAACATATCACATGACCTCAAGAAGAGAATGGTTTCATCATTATGAACCTGTCTCAGGAGGATCTGTGTATAGTTACAATGATCATGCCTCAGAGATCATTGGCGTGGGAACCATCAAATTGAAGATGTATGATGGAATAATTAAAGTTGTTCGAGATGTGCGGCACGTGAAAGGCCTGAAGAAAAATTTATTATCACACGGATTGTTGGATAATAATGCAAGTAAGATTAAAACACAGAAATGAATCATGAAGGTGTTCCGTGGAGCGCTTGTGGTGCTGAAAGGCGAAAAGATAGCTGCAAACTTGTACATGTTGAAGGGAGAAACTTTGCTAGAAGCAGAAGTCTCTGTT